TGTGCCAAGCACCAGAACAGATGACATATTCACCAATCTCATGATCCAACGTGAATGGAAACCCTTGAAGAGATCTAAAACTAGAAGGAAACAGCTGCAAGAGTACAACAAAACAAGTGCTAAACATCAGATTGATAAATGTCAAGACATATTCATCAACCCAGATCATGATAAACCCAATCCAAAGTCCATCCTTGTGATTGGAAAACCAGGCATTGGAAAGTCTCTCTTCTGTCAAAGGCTTTCTAGAGATTGGGCTGATGGTGTGTTATTTAGTAACAGTCCAGATGCCTCAAGAGTGGCAGATGATTTTGACTTTGTGTTTCTAATGACATTTAGGCAATTAAATCTCTATGGTGATGAGAAGTTCAACTTCTGTGAGGTTTTAAATCACTGTTCTGTGGTAGATGATCATGCAAACATCAATGAACACTTGTTTAAGTACATAATTGGACATCCAGAAAAGGTGTTGTTTATCCTTGATGGCTATGATGAATACTCTGAGCGTTCCCACATAAGTGAATGTCCATTTGAACAGAAGTATGAAAACAACCCACAAATTCAGATGCCTGTAGCTGCTTTGATTTCCAAACTCTTGAGAAAGAAGATATTTAAGAATGCTGTAGTCATGGTTACATCAAGACCAATAGCAGCTGATGAGTTAGGGGGAATCCACATGGATGCAGTAGTGGAAATAGCAGGGTTTTCTGTTGAACAAGTTAAAGAATTTATTGAGAAGTACTTCAAGTCAAAGAAGGAAGAAGTGAAGATTGCTGCAAGAGATCACATCATGAACAATGAAAACTTGCTAAGCATTGCACACATTCCTGTGCTTTGTCACCTGATGTGCTTTTGTCTTGAATGGCATATTGAAAATGGAACAGAAAAGTGCTTTCCAGCAACAATAACTGAACTTTACTCTGAAGTTGTGGAAATCTTTGAAGATTGCTGTAAAACAATTCATAGAGCATCCAAAGAGAAGAGTACTGTTAAAAAGTTAACAGAGTTGGCAGCTGCAATGTTTATGGAGGGAAAACTCATTTTTGATCAAAGAGATGTTGAGAGATTCCATCTGACTTGCCCAGAGACAGGAAACCTGCAGTCTTTTGGTCTGCTAACATGTGGCCCAGCATTCAGAGAACGTCCATCCAAAATGACAAGATATTTTTGTTTTTCTCATCTTACACTGCATGAGTATTTTGCAGCTCTTGGTTTTGTGAATAGTGGCATAATACCAACACTTGAAGATGAAGATGGCAAGGAGATGGTGCTCAAGTTTTGTGCAGGCCTTTTGTCTACAGTAGAAGATGGTGAAAGGCTAATGGAAGAGATGATTTCACCATACTGCTGCTGTAAGCATGGCATGTTACTTGCAAAGTGCCTACTTGAGTATGGCGACAAAGAATTTGGAGTCAAGATTATAGAAAAATATCGCACACAGTTTAGTACTGAAAATGGAGTTCTATTCCAAGATAAGTTACATTTATTCTATAGTTCAGATTGGAAAGCATTGGTATACTTCCTGGATCTTATCAGTCAGTTTTGTAAAGGTTTTATAGACACTTCAACAGAATCCTTTTGCATAAATGGATTAAACATAGAAGTCTATGATCAGGTGTCACTATCAGTCAAGAAGCAAATAGCTGATTCACTAAAAAATGATGGCTGCCCTTTAACTTTCTTAAGTGTTCATTTTACTTTGAGTAATTGTTCTTTTCATCACATTGTTGAGTGTCTTTTTCAAGCATTACCATCAACACACATCACCACATTTCACCTTGATGGTGACTTTACTGATGAAGGGATATCATGCCTTAGTAATGTATTACCATCAACAAACATCACCACACTTCACCTTCAATTTACTGATGAAGGGATATCATCCCTTAGTCGATTTACTGATGAAGGGATGTCATCCCTTAGTAGTGTATTACCATCAACACACATCACCACACTTCACCTTAGTAGTCGATTAACTGATATAGGGATGTCACATCTTCATAATCGATTTACTGATGAAGGGATATCATCCCTTAGTAGTGTATTACCATCAACAAACATCACCACACTTCACCTTAGTAGTCAATTTACTGATGAAGGGATA